TGATCTAGTTTTACATTCTGACTAGCTACGCTGAATATTCAACTAAAAAGATTTGTTGTACTTTAATGACTTTCGAAAGGATGAACATGGCAACTGTTGTAATGCAAGTGTTCAGGAGGAAAAAAAAATCGTTACTCAAAGTGTCTCACTGTTGACTTTAGAAGGATTAACATTAACCGACATTATGTTAACATTGTTTCAATTTTGAATGATATAAATTATTTTGTCTATGAATAAGAGGATTCTGCTGCATATATATGTTGACAAACAAGTATATAAATAAAACACTCTGTATATTATCACTTGATGTGTTTGCAACGAGTGATACATGTTCAATTTATAGCCATTTGGATATGGCCTCTCAACTACATGCATTTAATACAACTACTACCTTTCAACTACATATATTCAATACAACCACTATCTCTCAACTACATACATTCAATATAATTACTACCTCTCAATTACATGCATTTAAGGTTTACCTAACAAAATCCCCCCATAAACTTAAATGTTTTTCTTGTCCTTTATTCCAAGCATCTTCTTGTTATTCTCAAATAGAGTGGTTGGTAGTGGCTTCGTGAACATATCTGCAGCTTGTGCTCAGGTTCTGATGTGTTTTAACTCCACATTTCCTTCTTTCACTTGTTCTCGGATGAAGTGAAATCGAACATCAATATGCTTGCTTCTCTCATGATTGACCGGGTTCTTTGCCAATTCAATGACCGACTTGTTATCAACTTGAATCACAATCCCTTTTTCTTGCTTCAACTCCAACTTGCTTAGAAGGTTTCTAAGTCAAACTGCATGACAGACACTCCAGGATGTTGCAACGTACTCGGCTTCACAAGTTGACAATGTTACAATGGGCTGCTTTTTTGAAAGCCAGGTGAATGTTGTGTTTCCCATGAAGAATACATATCCAGACGTGTTTTTCCGGTCATCAACATCTCCACACTAGTCACTGTCCGAGTAGCCTACTAGTCGGTAATAATCCATCCTAGTATACATTAGACCAAGTGACATTGTTTCTCTCACATACCTTAGAATTCTCTTTAGTGCCTTCCAATGAGTATACCTTGGTTCCTCCATATACCGACTTGTTATTCCAACACTTAGCATTAAATCTGGTCTGGTATTTGTAAGATACCTAAGCCTTCCAATCAGACTTCGGTATTTGCTTGCATCAACTCGGTCTCCATCTGCATACTTAGAAATTTTTGTACCAGGTTCCATAGGGGTGGAAACCGGGTTGCAGCTTGTCATCTTAAACTTCTTCAAGACCTCCTCAGCATACTTTTCCTGCGACACAAAGATGTCATCCTTTCCCTGAACAACTTCTAAGCCAAGAAAATACTTCATAAGACCCAGTCAGTCATCTCAAACTCCTTCTTCATCACTTTTTTAAATTCTTCAATTAGCTCGGCATTATTCCCCATGAAGATATGGTCATCAACATATAGGGCAACAAACAACACATCTTCTCCTTTCTTCTTTATGTATAGAGCATGTTCATAAGGACATTGCTCATATCCATTCCTTTTGAAGTAAGTGTCAATTCTTTTATTCCATGCTCGTGGAGCTTGTTTCAAGTCATAAAGTGTCTTCTTCAATCTCAGCACTTTCTTCTCTTCTCCTCTTCACATGTATCCGAGTGGCTGTTCAACATATACTTCTTCCTCCAAGATTCCATTCAAAAATGCCGACTTCACGTCCATCTGCAAGATTGTCCATCTGTGTTGAGCTGCTAAGGAAATCAGCAGCCTAATTGTTTCCATTCTCGTCACTGGGGCGAATACTTCATCATAGTCTATTCCTTTCTTCTGTTTGTACCCCTTCACTACGAGTCGAGCTTTATATCGCTCAACTTCTCCTTCAGCATTTGTCTTCTTCTTGTACACCTACTTTACGCCGATAGGCCGCGCTCCTTTGGGCAAATCAGTCAGCTCCCATGTGTTGTTGCGTTTTATTGCCCCGATTTCCTCGTCCATTGTCTTTTTCCACCTTTTCTCCTGCATGACCTCTTCAAAAATTAAGTCTTCTGAATCTGCCAAGAGACATACAACATGAACTTCGTCAGTGGAGTTGTATATATCTTGTAAACTTCGCGCTCTGGGCTGTAGAGGTTCATCTTCTTCATCAGAAGTCTCATGATCTCTCACAGTATGTGGTGTATCAACTTCCGAGCTTCTACTTCCTATGGACTCCTTCTCCGGATTGTTCCAACTCCACTCGTTTTCTTCATCAATTTGAACATATTGGCTCATGATGACCTTCTTAGTTATTGGGTTAAACAACCTGTACGCCTTGATTTTTTCATCATACCCAATAAACACGTACTTTTGCTTCTATCTTCGAGATTGGTCCTCTGTTGAGCTGGAACATGATCATAAGCTATGCTACCGAACACTTTAAGGTGAGACACACTCGGTTTTCTTCCACTCCAGACTTCTTGCGGTGTTTTCTCGTTCAGCTTAGCATGTGGACATCTATTTTGGACATAGATGACACATTGCACTGCTTCTGCCCAGAACTCCTTTGGCACGTTTTTGCTTCTCAACATTGTTCGAACCATGTTAAGAATGGTTCGATTCTTCCTCTCGGCAACTCCGTTTTGTTGGGGTGAGTATGGTGTTGTCAGAAATCTCCTTATCCCTTGCTCCTTGCAATACTTCATGAGTTCGGATGAAATGAACTCGCCTCCTCGATCAGACCTAACAGATTTGATAGGCATGCCAGTCTCTTTCTCAACCATTGCTTTAAATCTCTTGAACACCTCAAACACCTCGGATTTCTCCTTCAAAAAATATACCCAGGTTTTTCTTGAAAAATCATCTATAAAATAAATGAAATATCTTTTCCCACTGAAGGACTCAGGGGTAACTGGTCCACAAATATCTGTGTGAATCAATCCGAGTTGTTCCTTTGCACAGTACTCGATCGTCCTCGAAAATGAGGTCCTCGGATGCTTCCTGAGCACACACTCTTCACAAAATTTCTTTTCAAATTCCATAGACGGGAGTCTTCGCACCATCTCTTTCTTTACCAACTTGGTCAGCCCGCCAAAATGCAAGTGGTCAAACCGAAAGTGTCACATCATTGCTTCATCCTTCACGTCAAGTTTCAAGCACCTCTCTTGGACTATCTTCAAGTCCAACTTGTACATTCTGTTCTTCTTCATTTCTACTCGGGCAATCAAACGATCTGACTTGTCCTTCAAGTATAATACTCGGTCTTTCATCAGAACCAAGTAGCCTTTCTCCATCAGCTGGCCCATGCTCAATATGTTGCTTTTGAGATCGGGTACATAATACACGTCTCTGATTTCTCCAACTCGGCTATTCTTCTGTAGGTACCTGATTGTACCTCTGCCTTTTACCGCCACCTTTGATGCATCTCCAAATGATACGTGTCCGGCCTCAACTTTAGTGAGCTCCTTGAAAAGGTTCTTGTCCCCGCACATGTGGTTACTTGCTCCTGTATCAAGATACCAAACCGAGTTGTCAGAACAACTCGGACTTAGCTCGACATCTAAACTTATCGACATCATCAATACTCTTTCTTCCTCAGTGTCCTCAGAGAGGAGGTTTGTCTCCTTCTTCCTCTCAGATCAGCAGTCCTTCGCGAAATGTTCAACCTTCTCACAATTATAACATTTGATACCTGAATGACAGTCCTTAGCAAAATGAATGTATTTCCCACATTTGAAGCACTCAACTTCGGAATTGCTTGACTGACCACCTCGGCCTCTACCGTCACGACCTCTACCTTGTCTTCGGCCACGCCAGTTTTGTTGATTGACTTGCTCCTTGCCTCTTTCATATTCTCCTCTGTCTCTACCACCTCGGCCTTGAGTGTTCTGAGCATAAGGAACCTTCTTCTCCTTTAAGGTTGTCTTTGCTTGGAGTGCTTGATCAAGTGACTCCTCTTTCTTCTTCCTTCTTCGCTGCTCATGCGCTTCAAGCGACCCGGCAAGCTCTTCCACTGAGAGCACCGACAAGTCCTTGGACTCTTCTATTGCACAAACGATATTCTCAAAGTCGTCAGTTAACGACCTTAAGATTTTCTCCACCACTCGGCAAGTGGGCAGCGTCTCTCCATTTCTTCCGAGTTGATTCACCACGGTCTCAACACGGGAGATGTACTCGGCAACCCCTTCGACCTCTTTCATCCTCATGCTTTCAAGTTCACCTCTAAGAGTTTGAAGTCTGACTTGCTTCACGCGATTATCCCCTTTATTTCCCTTCTCCAAAATATCCCACACTTCTTTTGAAGATTTAGCATTTGCTATCTTCTCAAAGCCGGACTCATCAACAGCTCGGTACAGTACGTACAAAGCCGTTTTGTCCTTTACTCGTGTTGCTCTCAATGCAGCAAGCTGAGCAATCGTCTGCTCTTCAATATTCTCTGGTTCTTGGTGCCCATTTTCGACCACATCCCATACTTCTTGGGAACCAAGGAGAGCCTTCATTTGCAGGTTCCAGTTATCATAGCTTATGCCTTTTGATAACTTTGGTAGGGACATACTGTTAGCTAAGTTGGTCATCTCGAACAAACTCTCTGACTCTCAAACACTCTCTCTAACGCACTCAGACACTCAAGCTCTGATGCCAATTTGTTGACAAACAAGTATCTAAATAAAACACTCTGTATATTATCACTTGATGTGTTTGCAACGAGTGATACATGTTCAATTTATAGGCCTTTGGATATGGCCTCTCAACTACATGCATTTAATACAATTTCTACCTTTTAACTACATATATTCAATACAACCACTATCTCTCAACTACGTACATTCAATATAACTAATACCTCTACTACCTCTCAACTACATGCATTTAAGGTTTACCTAACAATCTCCACGCTAAAAAATAATAATAAATCTTCCGTAAAATAAGAAGTACAACTTGGTGTACATAATGCATTAGATCTTAGACAAATTGAAGTGTGATTTATCTGTTCGTTCAATTGTCTTTGTCATCACTAGAGACAGGTTCATGGAGTTTCATCCTTACCTTTACATTCTCTGCATAATCCTGTTCTCACACGTGTTTCCTGAATCAGCTAACTGTCAACAAGTATACCTCAACAGCACTGTCTATGACTGCTCTCAGAACCCTTCTGCACCAAAAGGATACCTCTGCAATGGCCTTCAAAACTCATGCACTTCCTTCTTGGTTTTCAGGTCCAAATCTCCCTATGACAACCCTGTAAACATTGCCTACCTTCTTGGCTCTGAAGCATCTACCATATCTTCAATCAACAACATCTCAAGAGATGACAAGATTCCTTCCAATAAGTCAGTTATTGTTCCTGTATTCTGTTCATGTTCTGGAAATATCTACCAGCATAACACACCTTACACTGCCACCAAGAATGACACCTACTTCAAGTTGGTTAAAGAAACTTACCAAGGCCTCACCACCTGCCAAGCACTGATGGGTCAGAATTACTATGCCTCTGATGACATTAGAGTTGGTGCTGAGCTCACAGTTCCAGTAGTATGTGCTTGTCCAACTGAAAATCAGACAGCAAGAGGCGTCACTTCCTTGCTGGTTTACTCAGTGAACAATGGTGATACTATTAAGTCCATTGGAGAGGCTTATGGTGTTGAAGTACAAAGTATGCTAGAGGCCAATGGGTTGTCAGTGCCACCAAGTGCAGAGAACGACATAATCATCTATCCCACAACTCCTATCTTGGTTCCTCTTAGTGGGAAGAGTTGCAAAGAGGACCCAAATAATTTCTATTGTACTTGCTCCCATGGAAGGGCTGAGGCTGGAATAGGGATCCAATGTAATGAATCTGATGATAAAAAATTTCCTACCAAATTGGTCGCTTCATTAGGTATCTTTATCTGAACCCTCTATAGAATAGTTTTGTTTGAATTTCGGTTTTTACCCTGGCCATAGTATGTAGCTGATGCCAGCTAATAAGATAAAACATGGTATACACAGCATGTTGATAATTATTTTCATTTTGATTGAGTAATTACAGAGATAAGTTTTGCTATTTACTGCTTCCGACTGAGTAAGAAAAAAATGTCCTTTTTTGCGTATTTGCAGGCGTTGGAATTGGGGCAGGCTTTGTGTGTTTATTTCTTTTGGGGTACAAATCATATCAATACATTCAGAAAAAGAGAGAAATTATTCGAAAGGAAAACCTATTCAGGAAAAATGGTGGTTACTTGTTACAAGATAAGCTCTCGTTTTATGGAAATGGAGAAATGACAAAGCTGTTTAAAGCTGACGAGTTACAGAAAGCAACAGATAACTACAACAGAAGTAGATTTCTTGGTCAGGGTGGCTTTGGCACTGTATATAAAGGAATGCTACCAGATGGAAACATTGTTGCAGTTAAAAAGTCAAAAGAGATTGAAAGGAACCAGATAGAGACTTTTGTCAATGAAGTGGTGATTCTATCCCAGATCAACCACAGGAACATTGTCAAGCTCTTTGGTTGCTGTCTTGAGACAGAAACTCCTTTATTAGTCTATGAATTCATTCCCAATGGAACACTTTCTCACCATATCCACAGGAGAGACAATGAGGTCTCCCTTTCATGGGACAGTCGTCTTAGGATTGCATGTGAGGTTGCTGGAGCAGTGGCATATATGCATTTTGCAGCTTCTATTCCCATCTTCCATAGAGACATCAAACCTACCAACATACTTTTAGACAGCAACTTCAGTGCCAAAGTGTCTGATTTTGGAACATCAAGATCAGTGCCACAAGATAAGACTCACTTGACCACAGCTGTAGGAGGAACTTTTGGGTACATAAACCCTGAATATTTTCAGTCTAGTCAGTATTCAGATAAAAGTGATGTGTATAGTTTTGGGGTAGTGCTTGTAGAGCTCATAACTGGGAGAAAGCCTATTTCATTCTTAGAGGAAGATGAGGGTCAGAATCTGGTTGCACAGTTCATTTCTCTGATGAAGGACAACCAGGTTTATGAAATTTTAGATGCCAGGGTGGCTAAGGAAGCAAGGAAAGATGACATTCTTGCCATTGCAAACCTTGCAATGAGATGCTTGAGACTTAGTGGGAAGAAAAGGCCAACAATGAAAGAGGTTGCATTGGAATTAGAAGCATTGAGAAACGTGCAAAGTTCCTTGCAGATCAACCATGATCATGAGTGCACAACTAGTGACATAGTTCAAGAATGCACAGAGGAAAGCATACCACTGTGTTTCCAACTAGAGTCCACATCCTTTTAGATAGTCAGATTATTTCTTTTTTTATAAGTTTTTAGGAAGCTGGATCCATTGCTGATTCTTTGTTAACCTTTTGTGTTTCATTTTCACTTTTTAGCATGTGGACCAATTTGGATCTAGCCCTGTTATGCCTAATTATAAATGAAAATATTTAATCAATCACAGAAACCTCTTTTCTAGACATAAGTTAAGGAATCATTAACAATTTTTAATTTGTCATACCACCATGCAAATTAGTCAAACTAATTGAATTTTCATCAAATTGGAAAATTTTACCTTTCTTTGAAAAATCTTCCTCAGATTAAAACTTAGAAATTTCAGAATTTCATAAACACTTCTTCCACTTTGTTTAAAAGAAAAGAAAATAGATAAAAAAAACAAAATATAAATGTTTAATTTAAAATAAATATAGAAAATAATATTAAAAATTTGAGATTATTTGATTTATAAAATATATTAATAAAAATATTTTATCATATCATTTTGTTGTCCCAACCTTTAATAATCAATTATATATAATCTATACAATTGATTGTATGGTCAAATAATTAAAACAAAATTTATTTTCAAAGCTATAATCGATTAAAATAAATATTGGATTATGTTTTATCAATTTTCCATGTTTTTTATCATGTTAAATTCATATATCTTTTTTCTTCTCATATTTTTGCTCGATTATTTTGCTTTTACTTTTTTTACACAATAATAATTCTGATATGATTTTGATATCATCTAAAAGAATGAATTTAAGATGTAACTCAATTTTATAACGATGACTTCTAAGATAAGAACAACCCTAATCTTGTAAGCATTATTCTAATTGAAATATATATCTCAACCAATTATGAAGAACTTAGGTCTAGGTAACTTTTTCTTGTTCTCTTCACACGTAACCCTTTCTGAATAATTGGAGTTATGAATGACCACAATTAACATAACTTTCCATTAAAAACTTTCTGATCATTCACTGTTAGACCTCTACATAACATAGTTTTCTTGCTGTTGAACTCCTCAACATTTCCATACGAATAACTGTCATGTCAGGAGTTTAACAAACCCCCAAGAAAAAGGATAAAACATGCAATACCTTATAATAAGGATCAAACTATAAACCTAAACATTGAAAAAAAATTTAACCTGCATAAGGTTTTCCCTGAAGACTTGTTCATGGAGCTTCACAACCTCAATATTCTCATCACAATCTTGCTCCTATATTTGTTCCCTCACTCACAAAATTGCCAACAGGTATACCTTAACAACACTGTCTATGACTGCTCTAGCAACCCTTCTGCATCAAAAGGATATCTTTGCAATGGCCTTCAAAAGTCATGCACTTCCTTCATACTTTTCAGGTCCAAATTTCCCTACGACAACCCTGTGAGCATTGCTTTCCTTCTTGGCTCTGAAACATCTGATATAGCCTCAATCAACAATATCTCAACAACTGACAAGATTCCTTCCAATAAGTGGATCATTGTTCCTGTCTTCTGTTCATGTTCTGGAAACATCTACCAGTATAATACTCGTTACACGGTCAAAGAGAATGACACCTACTGGGCGTTGGTAAATGAAACCTTTCAAGGCCTCACCACCTGCCAGGCAATTATGGGTCAGAATTACTATCCTCCAATCAATATTGCAATTGATGCAGAGCTCAAAGTACCTATGTTATGTGCTTGTCCCACTCTAAATCAGACATCAAGAGGGTTCACCTCTTTGCTAGTTTACTCGGTCAACTCTGGAGACACTGTTAAGTCCATAGGAGAGGCTTTTGGTGTGGATGAACAAAGTATACTAGAGGCCAATGAGTTGTCAGTGACACAGAGTGCACACAGCAGCATGAACCTCCTTGACTCGACACCTATTTTAGTTCCTCTAATAGGGAAGAACTGCAAAGAGAACCCAAATAAATTCTATTGTAAATGCTACCAAGAACCACAAACAGATGGAAGCTCCAATGGGCTATTATGTGATGAATCTGGTGACAAAAAATTTCCTGCCAAATTGGTTGCTGCTTTAGGTATTTTTATCTTAATGTTAAGGTTCAACGTAAAACTAATTGGGAATAAGTGGAGTAGTTTAATATATATTTAAACCATACCATAACATGAGGTAGGCGATGTGAGACTTCTAATACGCCCCCTTCAACGAAGTCTGCGGATCAGGTAAAAAGTACTTTTGACTTAACTAAAGGGTAATTTTTGTCCCATAACAATAACCAGAAAGATGGTAGACTTTGACTTTGATACCATGTTAAGGTTCCAACATATCATGTATTTAAACCATACCAAATGATATGAGGCAGATGATGTGCGACTTTCAATACGTCCTCCTCTAACGCAGCTTGTCGGACTAGACAAAGGGTACTTTTGACCCACAATGAAAGGACAACTCTTGGTCCAAAATGTTAGGATTTGACTCTAATACCATGTTAAGGTTAGATTCCAATATAAAACCAATTGACAATATGTTGAGTAGCCTAACAATTATTTAAATCATACAAAATGACATGAGTCAGACAATGTAGGACTTTCAACACGCCCCCTCCAACGAAGCTTGCCGGACTAAGCAAATGATACTTTTGACCCACAACGAAAGGGTAACTCTTGGCCCAAGATGTTAGGCTTTGACTCTGATACTATGTTAAGGTTCCAACATAAAACCAATTGGCAATATGTGAAATAGTCTAACAATTATTTAAACCATACCAAATGACATGAGACAGATGATATGGAATTTTCAACATGCCCCTCCAACGAAGTCTGTCGAACCAGGTAAAGGGTACTTTTGACCCACAACGAAAGGACAATTCTTGGCTTAAGATAAGATGTTAGGCTCTGGCTGTGATACCATGTTAAGGTTCCAACATAAAACCAATTAGCAATATCTGAAATAACCTAACAATTATTTAAACCATACCAAATGACATAATATAACTATCTTAGACAAGATGTTAGTTTTGACCCACAATAAAAGGACAACTCTTGATCCAAGACAAAATGTTAGGCTCTGACTCTGATACCATGTTAAGGTTTCAACATAAAACCAATTGGTAATATGTGAAGTAGTCTAACATGTATTTAAATCATACTAAATATTATGAAAGGGGATTTTAACTCTCTTCAAGAAGAATCATACTAAATATTATGAAAGGGGATTTTTCTTTTTAGCATAACATAACATAGCTTGGATCACGTGATACTTCTACATTCTTTCATTTGAAAAAAATAAAAATAAAATAACTTCATAGCTCATGAAATACGAGTTGTCTCCTTTATATATATTATTTTGGTTAAACCACTGAGTCAATAATCTCCAACATGCCTGCTTTGTGTCAAGCATTATACGCTTCAAACCTAAAGTTTGCAGAAGATGGTATAGCACATGTAGAAACCCTCTTAGAATTTGAGTTTTACTCTAAACACAACTTCAAAAATTAGCTAATGGAATACGAGTTGTCTCCTCTTTATATGTACTATTTTTACTTTTATTTTTTGTCAAATCACTAAGTTAGTACGAGATCTCCAACCTTTATGTCGAACATTGGACACATCAATAAAGTACCATTACTTCAATTTGTTTCTCGTATCCGATACTTTACCGATTTGACTGATACAATAAAGAATTCAAACCTTTAAATAATTTATATTCAATAAAAGTTTAAGATATATATATATATATATATATATATATATATATAAATATTATTTTTTATAAATTAAAGAAAAATATTGTTCTTATGAATATTTTAACAAATTAATGAGTGATAATCTTATTACTATCCGTAAATAGCAAAAAAAATATTTTGTAATGATAATTATTTATATTTTATATTTTTATAACATAATTGTGATTTAAAATTTAGATTTACATGATTATAACTTTATAGTTATTATGTTTCATGATTTTTTATATTTTTTAATATATATCTTCTTATGCGTATTGAATCTAATTTTTTTTAAATGAACGTATCATCGGATACTAATTGTATCTAATACTCGTATTATATCCATGTATCATAATTTAAACTAAATTTTTTAGGGTTGGTATGATTACTAGAGTTCAAGTAAAATATAGAAAAGCTAAGCTATATATAAGTGAAAAAAAAATGGACAAAATATTGTCTTAAGATTTTTAGAATGTTATGTTCTTTCATGTGATTAGTTCATAGCTCAATAGTGAGTATCTGTTTTGGTGACAGACTAAGCTGGAATTGCCCAACAATGGTAACATGTAATTCAATACATCCAATAAGAATAACTTGACCAGATATGCTTTGGTCGATTTGTATCACCCTACCAATATTTAATTTTCACTCTGACCCTGCATCTTGTAATTTAGTAATTGTTATAAAAAGGAGTATCTTTATTGCAAGTCCATTCTGCTGTTAGGTAAACATTAAATGCATGTAGTTGAGAGGTAGTGGTTATAGAGGTAGTAGTTGAGAGTTAGTTGTTGTATTGAATGTATGTAGTTGAAAGGTAGTAGTTGTATTAAATGAATGTAGTTGAGAGGCCATATTCAAAGGGCCTATAAATTGACCATGCATCACTCATTGCAAACGCATCAAGTGATAATATACAGAGTGCTTTATTTAGATACTTGTTTGTCTACAAATTGACATCAGAGCTTGAGAGTCTGAGTGTCTGAGTGCGTTAGAGAGAGTGTTTGAGAGTTAGAGAGTTTGTTTGAGATGGCCAACTTAGCTAACAGCATGCCCCTACCAAAGTTATCAAAAGGCGTAAGCTATGATAATTGGAGCCTGCAAATGAAGGCTCTCCTTGGTTCCCAAGAAGTATGGGATGTGGTCGAAAATGGGCACCAAGAACCAGAGAATATTGAAGAGCAGACGATTGCTCATCTTGCTGCATTGAGAGCAACACGAGTAAAGGACAAAACGGCTTTGTACGTACTGTACCGAGCTGTTGATGAGTCCGCCTTTGAGAAGATAGCAAATGCTAAATCTTCAAAAGAAGCGTGGGATATTCTGGAGAAGGCATATAAAGGGGATAATCGCGTGAAGCAAGTCAGGCTTCAAACTCTTAGAGGTGAGCTTGAAAGCATGAGCATGAAAGAGGTCGAAGAGGTTGCCGAGTACATCTCCCATGTTGAGACCGTGGTGAATCAACTCGGAAGAAATGGAGAGACGCTGCCCACTTGCCGAGTGGTGGAGAAAATCTTAAGGTCGTTAACTGACGATTTTGAGAATATCGTTTGTGCAATAGAAGAGTCCAAGGACTTGTCGGTGCTCTCGGTGGAAGAGCTTGCCGGGTCGCTTGAAGCGCATGAGCAGCGGAGAAGGAAGAAGAAAGAGGAGTCCCTTGATCAAGCACTCCAAGCAAAGGCAACCTTAAAGGAGAAGAAGGTTCCTTATGCTCAGAACACTCAAGGCCGAGGTGGTAGAGGTAGAGGAGAATATGAAAGAGGCAAGGAGCCAGTCAGTCAACAAAACTGGCGTGGCCGAAGACAAGGTAGAGGTCGTGACGGTAGAGGCCGAGGTGGTCAGTCAAGCAATTCCGGAGTTGAGTGCTTCAAATGTGGGAAGTACGGTCATTTTGCTAAGGACTGCTATTCAGGTATCAAATGTTATAATTGTGGGAAGGTTGGGCATTTCGCGAAGGACTGCCGATCTGAGAGGAAGAAGGAGACAAACCTCCTCTCTGAGGACACTGAGGAAGAAGGAGTATTGATGATGTCGAGAAGTTCGGATGTCGAGCTAAGTCCGAGCTGTTCTGACAACTCGGTTTGGTATCTTGATACAGGAGCAAGTAACCACATGTGCGGGGACGAGAACCTTTTTAAGGAGCTCACTAAAGTTGAGGCCGGACACGTGTCATTTGGAGATGCATCAAAGGTGGCAGTAAAAGGCAGAGGTACACTCTGGTACCTGCAGAATAATAGCCGAGTTGGAGAAATCAGAGACGTGTACTATGTACCCGATCTCAAAAGCAACATATTGAGTATGGGTCAGCTGATGGAGAAAGGCTACTCGGTTCTGATGAAAAACCGAGTACTATACCTGAAGGACAAGTCAGATCGTTTGATTGCCCGAGTAGAAATGAAGAAGAACAGAATGTACAAGTTGGACTTGAAGATAGTCCAAGAGAGGTGTTTGAAACTTGACGTGAAGGATGAAGCAATGATGTGGCACTTTCGATTTGGCCACTTGCATTTTGGCGGACTGACTGAGTTGGTAAAGAAAGAGATGGTGCGAGGACTCCCGTCTATGAAATTTGAAAAGAAATTATGTGAAGAGTGTGTGCTCGGGAAGCATCCGAGGACCTCATTTCCGAGGACGGCCGAGTACCGTGCAAAGGAACAACTCGGATTGATTCACACAGATATTTGTGGACCGATTACCCCTGAGTCCTTCAGTGGGAAAAGGTCTGATCGAGGAGGTGAGTTCATTTCATCCGAACTCATGAAGTATTGCGAGGAGCAAGGGATAAGAAGATTTCTGACAGCACCATACTCACCCCAACAAAACGGAGTTGCCGAGAGGAAGAATCGAACCATTCTTGACATGGTTCGAATAATGTTGAGAAGCAAAAACGTGCCAAAGGAGTTCTGGGCAGAAGCAGTGCAATGTGTCATCTATGTGCAAAATAGATGTCCACATGCTAAGCTGAACAAGAAGACACCGCAAGAAGTTTGGAGTGGAAGAAAACCGAGTGTGTCTCACCTTAAAGTGTTCGGTAGCATAGCTTATGGTCATGTTCCAGCTCAACAGAGGACCAAGCTCGAAGATAGAAGCAAAAAGTACGTGTTTATTGGGTATGATGAAAAAATCAAGGCGTACAGGTTGTTTAACCCAATAACTAAGAAGGTCATCATGAGCCGAGATATTCAAATTGATGAAGAAAGCGAGTGGAGTTAGAACAACCCAGAGAAGGAGTCCATAGGAAGTAGAAGCTCGGAAGTTGATACACCACATACTGTGAGAGATCATGAGACTTCTGATGAAGAAGATGAACCTCTACAGCCCAGAGCGCGAAGTTTACAAGATATATACAACTCCACTGACGAAGTGCATGTTGTATGTCTCTTGGCAGATTCAGAAGACTTAAGTTTTGAAGAGGCTGTGCAGGAGAAAAGGTGGAGAAAGGCAATGGACGAGGAGATCGGAGCAATAGAACGCAACAACACATGGGAGTTAACTGATTTGCCCAAAGGAGCACGACCTATCGGCGTAAAGTGGGTGTACAAGAAGAAGACAAATGCTGAAGGAGAAGTTGAACGATATAAAGCTCGACTCGTAGTGAAGGGGTACAAGCAGAAAGAAGGAATAGACTATGACGAAGTATTCGCCCCAGTGACGAGAATGGAAACAATTAGGTTGCTGATTTCCTTAGTAGCTCAACACAGATGGACAATCTTGCAGATGGACGTGAAGTCGGCATTTCTGAATGGAATCTTGGAGGAGGAAGTATATGTTGAACAGCCACTCGGATACATGCGAAGAGGAGAAGAGAAGAAAGTGCTGAGATTGAAGAAGGCACTTTATGGCTTGAAACAAGCTCCACGAGCATGGAATGAAAGAATTGACACTTACTTCAAAAGGAATGGATATGAGCAGTGTCCTTATGAACATGCTCTATACATAAAGAAGAAAGGAGAAGATGTGATGTTTGTTGCCCTATATGTTGATGATCTTATCTTCATGGGAAATAATGCCGAGCTAATTGAAGAGTTTAAAGAAGTGATGAAGAAGGAGTTTGAGATGACTGACTTGGGTCTTATGAAGTATTTTCTTGGCTTAGAAGTTGTTCAGGGAAAGGATGACATCTTTGTGTCGCAGGAAAGGTATGCTGAGGAGATCTTGAAGAAGTTTAAGATGACAAGTTGCAACCCGGTTTCCACCCCTATGGAACCTGGTACAAAACTTTCTAAGTATGCAGATGGAGACCGAGTTGATGCGAGCAAATACCGAAGTCTGATTGGAAGTCTTAGGTATCTTACAAATACCAGACCAGATTTAATGCTAAGTGTTGGAATAGCAAGTCGATATATGGAGGAGCCAAGGTATACTCATTGGAAGGCACTAAAGAGAATTCTAAGGTATGTGAGAAGAATAGTGTCACTTGGCCTAATGTATACTAGGACGGATGATTATCGACTAGTAGGCTACTCGGATAGTGACTGGTGTGGAGATGTTGATGACCGGAAAAGCACGTCTGGATATGTATTCTTCATGGGAAACACAGCATTCACCTGACTTTCAAAAAAGCAGCCCATTGTAACGTTGTCAACTTGTGAAGCCGAGTACGTTGCAGCATCCTGGAGTGTCTGTCATGCAATTTGGCTTAGAAACCTTCTAAGCAAGCTGGAGTTGAAGCAAGAAAGAGGGACTGTGATTCGAGTTGATAACAAGTCGGTCATTGAATTGGCAAAGAATCCGGTCAATCATGAGAAAAACAAACATATTGATGTTCGGTTTCACTTCATCCGAGAACAAGTGAAAGAAGAAAATGTGGAGTTAGAGCACGTCGGAACCCGAACACAAGCTGCAGATATGTTCACGAAGCCACTGTCAACCACTCTGTTCGAGAACAACAAGAAGATGCTTGGAATGAAGGACAAGAAAAACATTTAAGTTTATGGGGGGATTTTGTTAGGTAAACATTAAATGCATGTAGTTGAGAGGTAGTGGTTATAGAGGTAGTAGTTGAGAGTTAGTTGTTGTATTGAATGTATGTAGTTGAAAGGTAGTAGTTGTATTAAATGAATGTAGTTGAGAGGCCATATCCAAAGGGCCTATAAATTGACCATGCATCACTCATTGCAAACACATCAAGTGATAATATACGGAGTGCTTTATTTAGATACTTGTTTGTCTACATCTGCCACCGGAATCTGAAAAACCTTGGAATTTGTACGAGGTGGAATTGGTGCAGGTTTTCTGTGTTTGTTTCTTCGGGGATACAAGTTATATAAATACATACAGAAAAGGAGAGATCCGTAAGGAAAAGCTGTTTAGGCAAAATGGTGGCTACTTGTTACTGGAGAAGCTCTCATCTTACGGAAATGGAGAAATGGAAAAGCTTTTTACAGCCGAGGACCTTCAAAGAGCAACAGATAACTACAACAGCAGTAGGTTTCTTGGCCAGGGTGGCTATGGCAGAGTGTACAAAGGAAAGTTACCAGATGGAACCATAGTTGCAGTTAAAAAGTCAAAAGAGATTGAAAGGAACCAGATATAGAGACTTTTGTCAATGAAGTGGTGATTCTATCCCATATCAACCACAGGAACATTGTCAAACTCTTTGGTTATTGTCTTGAGACAGAAGCACCATTACTAGTCTATGAATTAATTCCCAATGGAACACTTTCTCACCACATCCATAGGAGAGACAATGAGCCCTCCCTTTCTTGGGAGAGTCGCTTTAGAATTGCATGTGAGGTTGCTGGAGCAGTGGCATATATGCATTTTGCATCTTCAATTCCTATTTTGCATGGAGATATCAAACCTGCCAACATACTTTTAGGCAGTAACTACAGTGCCAAAGTGTCAGATTTTGGAACATCAAGATCAGTGCCACTAGATAAGACTCACTTGACCACTATTGTGGGAGGAACTTTTGGGTACATAGACCCTGAATATTTTCAGATAAAAGTGATGTGTACAGTTTTGGGGTAGTGCTTGTAGAGCTCATAACTGGGAGAAAGCCTCTTTCATTCTTAGAGGAAGATGAGGGTCAGAATCTGATTTAGTGTTTAACAATGATTTAGTGTTTAATTTTCACTTTTAGCATGTGGGTGAATTTGTATCTATATCCTAGTATGCCTAATTATAAATGAAAATATTTTCATTTTTCTCCACAAGAATATAATGTTGATATTCGCAATGCTCAAGCTTACTAGAGAATTGAAAATTCCCCATTCATAATTATCCACTTTGTTGTTGACTCGTTGTAATGCTGTTGCAAAGTACAGGGTCAAAATTAAAAAATAATTATTAATTATAATTAAGGACTAAATTAATAATAAATATGATAATAAGAATAAGAAACATAGTGTTCTTTTCATAAGTGACAGCTCTTTTTCTATTCAGCCTCTAATTTTGTCTAAGGAGTAATTTTAAATAAATGCATGCAACAGGACAAGAGTTTTTCCATTCGAGGAATAAAGTAAAAATACATGGAACACATTACAACATATAATATGTTTTGATTGGGAATAAAAATATGTCAACTTTACTATGTAACTTTAAAATGCCTAACCTACATGATCTGTCCTATTGGGTCTCGCATGACATAACTTTTCAAGCTTTTTAAGAAGCTTTTGTTTTATAGTTAAGTTGGTTGAATTATAGATTTTTAGAAAATTATATTGGGGGTAATAGGTTAATCCGTTTATAAACAATATTATTTTCAACACAAATATTAACATTTAATATATAATACTATATTTTTTATTTTACGAACTAGTTAAACATTACGTTTTTGACTTGAACCAGTTTTAGTTTATTTGTGTGGTTTTAACCGTTTCTAATATCATCTCTCCATTGGTAAGTTAGATTCAAACAAAGGTTAGGCTTAGACACAACAAACCAGAATTTGTCTTGTATCTAATTTGAACAGATAAAATTTGGTACAATTTATTACTTTGAGAATATAAAGCAGCAAAAGGGGTTGCTTTGTGTTCTAAGTGAGTCACATTTCCACGATGCGACTATATAGATATCGATTGATAGGACACTGAAAATGGAAGTTCACACGAAATTTCTTAACCATCAATTTATTTTTTATTTTGGTGTCCCACGGAAGAGATATAATTTTATTACCAGAAGAAGGAAAACTCAAACTACAACTCATACAATTCCACCTGGTGCCACTACAATTGGGCTCCTAACTCTCTGTGCTCCACCATCTTCAATCCAAACAAGATCCCCATATGAGATATTTTCCTTCTTGTACATGCTATAATTTATCATGACATCGTAGCTTAGCTTCTCATTTTTGTATCTGAATGTTAATATCTCGGGTGACACTGTCAGCACAGAGCCCTTAGGTTGTGTCACCTTGGCTCTGTATGTGGCAGCACCACCTCCAACATTGGTCACTGTCCTCCTAAACTTGTGGGAACCTGACCTTGTTTTGTTGCTGTAGAAAGCTATAAATGAAGGGTAGTTGAGATCAAACGATGGTTTTGCACAGTTGTAGGAGGCTGATCTTGTAATGGTTAAGATTTGTTTTTGTGTGTACTTCAAAGCACAAAGGAGATTAACATAATCCTGTGGGGTGGCATCATATATCAAACCTGGATCAAGTGCTTTGTTAGGGTCAATTTGACCAGCTCCAATGGCTAAAGGGGAAGCATATTGAGCACGGTAACCTTGATCCCTAATTGGACTCTGTGTATTATCTAGAGGACTAGCTGTGGTTACTAATGCAGACCTTATAGCAGCAGCACTCCATTCAGGGTGTGCAGCTTTCAAAAGAGCAGCAACACCAGAAGCATGAGGGCAAGCCATGGATGTTCCAGACAGAATATTGTAGTCACTAGGTAAGAACACATTGGTGCCAATTGCAGCGGCTACTCTATGAGGAATGAAAGCAGCAAGAACATTAGAGCCAGGTGCCATTATGTCAGGCTTTAAGACCCCAGGATAGCTAGGTGAAGGACCTCTTGAAGAGTAACCGGCAACAGCTGGTGCCGACTTTATTCCAACAAATGTTTGTTGAAATTTGATGCTGGCTGTTGGGTTCTCTTGGCTTTTTGCATACTTGATCACAGATGGTGCATCCTGTGCACTAATTACAATACTTGGAGATCTGGAATGTCCTTCTTCATTTTCTAATGGTTGATCAGAGATAAAGACTGCCCCTAACAAACTGGCTTTATTAACATAACTCCGTTGTTTAATAATTAACTCCGGGTCTGACACTGAGTCACATAGAATAATTCCTTCTTCGGCCACTTTGGATAATAACTTGACTGAGTTACATGCTGATGTATTCTTATTGTAGATAAGTGGAAAATTTTCCACGAGCGCATTTGCGGGAAACAAGGTCCAACCAGTAATGGTTTGGCCATTTCCAAGAATTAGAGTACCAAATGTGCGGTCTATGGTGCCTGCGGCCACAGTCAGAAGCCAGGGGATTCCATTGTGCAAAGTACCAAGATCAGGACCAGCATTACCTGCAGAGGATGAAACAACCACCCCTTTTTCCATTGCTGCAAAAGAAGCTATTGCTATAGGGTCCTCATAGAGTGGAACACCATCAAACCCCATAGAGATGGAAATGACATCGACCCCATCTGCAATGGCTTGGTCCATTCCAGCCATAACATCAGAGGCTACACGACCCTCGTCCCAAATGACCTTGTACATGGCTAGCCTAGCTCTCGGTGCAATGCCTCTGGCCACCCCTTTGGCATAGCCAAAATAAGAGGCTCCACCGACATAGTTGCCAGCAACTGTTGATGATGTGTGAGTTCCATGACCCGCAGTATCTCTAGCTGAGTTCATGCTGATTTTATCCTTGGAGTTTGCAGCAATCACGCCCTTGTTGAAATATCTAGCTCCAATCAGTTTGAAGTTACAGATGGAAGTGTTAAAGTCTTGCCCTTCCTGACAGATCCCTTTCCATTTGTTTGGAATTTTCTTGGTCATGCCATCATCTTTGAAACTTTCATTCTCAGGCCACACACCAGAGTCAATAACACCCACAATGACATCCTCCCCAAAATTTGAAGCATGCCACAGGCCACTAGAAGAATCTAGGGAGAGAAACTCAAAAGTGTGAGTGGTGTCTATGGTGGCAGTTCTGTCTGGATATGCTGCGACAAAGCCCAGGGAGTTCTTGACAGCCGCTAACTCTTCTGAAGTTAGTACTGCACTAAAGCCATACATGGCTTGGTTATAGGAGTACACTAGTTTCTGTGATTGCCTGGATGAGTGACGAAGTGTTGCTGATTTTGTGGAATCGATGATGCATTCAAACCAATCATGATGGGTTGTGAAGACCCGAGGAAACAAGGATTTGTCCATGTGCACTATATATATGGAACTCTCAGCAGCACTGCCATGAAGAGCCAATAGAAACCAATGAATACTGAAGAGCATGAAAGGAAGTGGTAACACAAAGATAGGCTTAGGCTCCATCAATGTTTATGCTACTTAAAATGAAAACTACTTGGTTTGAAAAAGCTGATCAAATCATGTATCATACATATAAGAATTTTCAGTGTGTAGAACATCAATGATGTTGACATATGTAATTATTACAAACTGTGGAAAATATCATTGCAAAATAATTGGACCAAATTTCCTGCATTAAAGGTGCTTTATGATGAGAAAACAAAGTAGACCCTTACTTTTCTTACTGATGCAACGTAGCACATTTTATGTAAGATTTCTGTATTGCACCAATCAGACACAAATGCTTATGCGCATAAAGTGTATTAAAATATAAAAGTTCAACCGTGTGAATATAATTTTGTGCGTGGAATATAAAGGAAGAAAAATGTTACTTCCAGCATTGAATTGAACACAACTGGCAACTAACTTCTTTATATTCGTTTTTTTTATGAAGACTTAGACCAGATTCTTTGTTGGCAATTTGTGTTTTGTTTCCACTTCCTACGTATAAATCAGTTATTCCAATTTCTGCAAAAGCATATCATGCATAAATTTTCTCCAACATAAAAGAAACTAGATGAAGTTACGGTTTCAATTAGTTTTTCAATAAGTAATTTTATAAGGAAAAAAAATCGTTTATCATAAACTAAAATGAACTTCAAATATAAGTTTAATCAACCTATTTTTAAACAATAAATAAATCATTTAACTCCTCTTAAAGATTTCATTTTAACACGTACATATATTATTTAACTACTTGTGTCATACTTATATGAAACCTTATTCTGACAAACAAATTAAAGAAAAAACAATTACAGATTATGTAAACCTATTTTACATTGTCTGTCATTATATAATCCATTTTCTCTTACAACTAGAAGTCAATAACTTTGTATTGTGTCTGTGAAAACTTACATTGTGACTTCGAAATTAGTGATGATGACTAATGATAATAAAAAAAATTATAAAAAAAAAAAAAAACCCAACCAACGAAATAAAAGAAAAAAAGTCTAATTAATCAGTCAAAATAATTATATCTACCATTAACTGAAGTATTGCTAAAGTTATTAGCATATCTTCATAGACAGATTAGATTCACATCAAACTGTTTCTTTATTATTATTATTTTCTTTTTCTCAACCTATACATGATAGCAAAACAGTGCATTTCATCCTTTTCTGATTCCTCAAATAAATGCCAACCATTTAATATCCTAAAAAATTCAGTTGAATATAAAAATCAATGTTCATATGGCAGCAAGTCACATAAATGTCCTACATCGTACAGATTGCTCAACTACAAAACCATGCATCATTTTACCCACAACCCTTTGGAAGCTTACAACAGTATTCGACCAGGCTTATAATTTTATCAACATCAAATACATTGTTCAGATCTACAAGCTGGCACGGTGATCGTCAGATATGGTCTCTTCAGAAGAAGTGCCACTATCAATAATAATCAAATCATCCTGTTTCCGGACACAATGGTCGAGACACTTGTTCATCTTCACCACCCCATATTTTCTTCTTGAATAAGTTGAATAGTGAGAACCATTTGGCATGTGTAGCTCATTTGGCCTCAAACCATTGAACCAATTTTGAGGTACAAAGCATGACTTGCTGGTATTAAAGCAATGATCTGAAGCTCCCAGCATGTCTGGATGAGAACTCAATGAAATCACCGCAGACATATTTGGCATGACTGGAGGAGGAGTGTTAACAGCTTCTCTGAGCCAGTGGGGCAAATTATTTGTGGCTGCGGAACAATTAAAGGAATAGTCATTCGAGTAAGAGTTCTGCTTGGAAATGCTCAAGCTAGGAGAATTGAAAAATCCTGGCTCATACTTGTCTATGTTGCTGTAATTGGCCTTTCTGGAATGAGTAGTTAGCCTATGACTGTGCGCAGTGGTGTTACTCTGAAAATTATATCTGTTAAGAGGTTTCTTCAAAGGGTTACTCTCCCAGAAACTTGATTTAGAATCCAAGTAGCAAATGTTTCCTAATGATGCCACTGCTGCTGCCCTTTCTGCTGCTGGATACATGAACTGTTGAAGGTCTATATCGTTCAAAAGTTTTAATTGTTCATCCTCCCACCTCTCAGCAAGGTCCCCTGGTACCCTTAATGGTGAAAACCGCAATCTAGGATCCCTTAGCATGGCCTCCCAATTGCCCCTACCATGTCTCCTCACACCAATCCAGAGAAAATCCAACTCCTCTTCAGACCACATGATAGGGTGTGGCTTCAAATATTCTTGAAATTTTCCCCTTTCATTTAAAGCTCTTGTTCTGTGTACAATGTTGTCTAGTACTACCTGGTGCTTGGGATGCAATGGCTTCAGAGTTGGAGATGAAGACAGACATAATCCATCTTGGACAGTATCTCTAGTTTCAGTAGTTGAATGTAACACAGGCAATACTGACAAACTATTAACAGAATCATTGCCTCTGGTCTTGAGCTCCACAGGTAAAGACAAACCCAAAGAAAGAGAAATAGTTGGCATCAGTTTTGCTTTATCGGTTTTTGTTTGTTGAGCACTCATTCTTTCTTCAGTCATCATTACCTGAGGTTGGGTACTAGTTGAGCAAACACCAACTATAGCCTTTCCTTCTGAAATCAGCTGGATATACAAGACGATGAGAAGAACCAGATATCAATAATGGGAAACACTCACATCTTTTAAAGGGAAGATATAACATGAACTTCATAGTTGATGTTCACAAATAGCCCCATGCAACAAGCATAAAAAGAAGAAAATGCTTGGGAAGTAAGAGTAACAGTGCACAAACTATTTTAAAACAATTAGGATAAATTAAAACAACTATATTTCCAATTGGGGAAAAGAAAGTAATGTTTTATCCAGTCATTATTGGTTAACTGCTAAACCATTATTTCTAGTTTTGGTTAATTCTTCCTAAATGGGAACATGTTTGCCAAGATTCGTAATTATAATTTTCTTTTTCTAAAATATAAAATATCATCTTTGAAGTTATCGAGGTGTTTTGGTATCCTCTTATACCTGTGTGTTTCTAGCATTTAAAAAGTCCAAATCAGAAACTTTATCTTCAGCAATGGCAGAACAACTGCTTGTAGATTCCAATTTAGGTCCACGAACTCTCATCCTCGAATGAAGGGGATGCTTCTCAGCACCCAAGTTTAAATCCACAATGTGCTCTTCTGTACCACATGAAAATGCTATATGAAATATAAACTCTTTCAATAAAATGAAAAAAATGCATGATGAAGCTTTCCACAGAAATACATAACACATCAATGACAACTCCATGATTACTGAACAAAATATTCAGATCTATCATTTCAATGTTTAAGGCCAAGTGACAAATCATACCAGCAGAATTATTAGGCAGGTCAAACTGAAGTTGGTGTTCTCCAGTTTTCATCATGTCATTGCAGAAAACATTTTCACTGGCCTCGCAAGACAAGATTTGGGACTTTTCTAGTTCCTGATCAGTGCCTTTGGCTGCACGATAGGGATCTCTAGAATCAACTTTGGTAGAGACCCCCTGGCAATCCTTATGAAGATGATGGTCTTCCTTGTGAATCAGACAACTGTGGCTCAGTTCTCTTCTGTCTTTATCAGAGGCATTTTTTACCGTGTCTTCCCCATGACAAAGTTGCTCTCTCATGTCTGTCATACTGTTAGAATAAAAACATTGATACACAATTTTCCCCCCAGCAATAATGGTTTTCTATTGGATTTATAATATTTAAAAAATTGCAAAGTTGAGTTTTATGAAAATATACCATTTTCCAGAAACAACCGCAGGGGAACAGGGAGAATCAGTACTTTGGACCTGTCATAAAATTAAGAGCTACTGTTATTCACAACATCGGTAATCAATTTGATTGATGACCAACACCAAAATTTGTCACAAACTCAATATCTCTTTGAAACTGACTAGTTTTCATGATCAAGTTATCGAAAGCACCATCTTATAAAACTATCGAAGTTTGTTTTGACAACATGAAGTTCTCCACACTCAAATTTTAAGGTCGGTAATATGCACTACTCCAAGAACTTGTGAATAAAGAAGCTAAAATCCATTTATCAAACTTAATAAAGTACTATATATATCATCTAATCATTCACTGCATTGACCGGTCAATACATATAAAGATCAGCAAAGGGGAAAAATAATAATACTAAAATAAGAAGCTTTTACAAATTAAAATCATCTCCTAAACTAATTATTGTATAACTCCATGAATCAATCAAATTTTCAAGTAACAAACCATAAGGTTTAAGGGAATCACCAGGAAGCCATACTTTTTCTTGAGTTTGACAAAGCTCCCCTCTTTCTGTAAGCTCAGCAGATTGATTAAGGTCTGTCAGAAAAACCATAGAGCAACTTCTACAAGATGTTTCATCCTGCTTTTCATTCAATGCCTTCCCTTTTTCTGAAAGCTCCACTGATTGATTAAGGTCAGGTACATTATCTACAGGACATTCCTCACTAGATGATTCATCACTAGAACATGGATTGGTATTTGCAAGCATACTCCACTTGGTTAATACTGAAATGCTTTCCTCCTTGTGCGATAAGCTGCTTTGTTTGCCATTTCCATCTAACCTCTTTTTTCTTTTGTAACATCGATTGAAGGTTACTAATGGACTAGCCAAGTTGGTCTGAAAAACCATATCTCCAGATGGGTTTCTGATATTATATTTAGAGCGTGAATCAGTAGGTTCATCCATTGAATTATTCGAAACAGGAGATTTATTGACTTGTGCAGAACTGATATCCCTTGTGATAAATGTTTCTGAGTTGACTACATTAAAATTATTGCCAGCATCCAATTCAACTGGCAGGGAAATAATTTTATTAGAACAGTTGTCACATCCATTACTTTCACTGGCATAGGAATTTCTCTGGGTATAGCAATCAGTATCTGAAGCCTTTTCTACTGTGGGCAACTCATCAACATCCCTCTTGATGTTATCCTCACATGGATGCTTCGTTGAAAATGATTCATGTGCAGCAGCCATCATTTCTGTTGCATCATAATTTCCAAGCTCTCCTGTCTTGGTGGAACCAGTATTTGGATGTGGAAGCAATGATGAACAATCTGACTGTTTGAAACATGGCATTTTCCCATCACTAGTATCCTACAAAGTATATAGATGAGTAAGTAAGCCTGTCAGCATGAAGTCACAGAAGCTCTCCATATAACTGGCAGTTAAGTGTCATTCCAATATATACTCTATTTTGCCTCCAAAAATGACTTGCTCAGGAATTGAAAATTATAAGATTGATGAAAGTTATTGCAGTACATCACATTTTTACTTTATACTTCCACTGTTCTTTATGAGAAAAAAAGAAACAGTCAACTTTAATGGCCATCATATCTCAGCTCTTACATCTAAAGAACTTTTCTAATAAAATAATTCACCGCCTTACCTGTCAATATAACAAAATGGTAAATTTTTGGTAGCTTAAATTAGTTACTCCTACTCAGTTATCAGCTTTCTGGATTCCTCCCCTCACCTTCCAAATTGCATTAAGACTTCTTGCTTTCATGCGTGCTTTTAGAGAAGTTTACCACAAAAGGATCCAAATTTATTGTTTTCACATTCTCTTCTAATTTGTTATAACAATCTCAAGAATTTAATGTCATACTATAAAATTAATAGTTGTCCATTTCAATTTCTTCATTCTTTTTGAGATTTATACTCCTCATTGCCAATATAAATCAATGCATTTTGTTAGCATGTTAGCATAGGTTAACTTGTGTTCTCTAAAAAATGATGTTTCACTTGTTCCTATCTGTCACCTAGGTGTAGTTATTCTTTTCATTTACTCTCTCTTGTATATCTAATGTAAGTTTCTTACAAATAATACATAAATCAGCTAAGAGATAAATCAATCTCTTAACCCATTTCTGATATTTTCACTCTTTAAGTCATTAAATAAAGTATTGTGTATCAAGGCCCTCACAACGTTACCTTTACTTTTTAGACATGAAAGTTTACATAAAGTACATGAACCCTAATAATATCGTGACCGTTTTCCACTCTAACAATAATACTTTTCACTGTCAATATACATCAACGCACTTAAATATAGTATCTTGTAACAATAAAAACCATTTCTATTTGATAGAAATACATGAACTAGTCTAGCCACTGGCTAGTAGTGTATGCCAAGGGTGGGTTACATGTGTCTTGTCAAATCTTGCAAGATATGGAATTGCAAAAAGACAGATGATGCTACATGAAAATATATAAATAAAAAAAAAACAGAAGTTGCCTTTCAAGAATCTCACCACTGTTTTTTCTTCACTCTTTTTTGATGCTTTCTCCACAGTTTGACTGTTGTTATCGGCATCTTCACATAGCGAATTTTGGTTACAATTTCCATGGACAAAATTACTATTTAGAGTTTGCCGCTTTCTTTTATAAGTTAGAAACACTTTGTTCCCAAACATTTAAGCTTCTTCGGGTAAGAACTCCCGAACTACTGGATGCTATGCTCCAAGCACTAAAGACAAAATTAAAACAAGGGTCACAAATGAAGTCCATTCCACGTGAAAGACAAACATTCAGAACTGACCAGTATAGAATATAATGAATATAGAGAAATAAATGACAGATTGAATATATCTCACAAATCACAGGACACATCTCTCGGAGATTGAATTCTGATAGCATATATCTTCAGTCTACAATGCCAATTTAAGTCCTTTTTTAAAGTGCCTTCCCGAGTTAGTCTGCAAATTAGTTAAAAGTCCCTTGAGGAGTTGTCATTGAAATCAACTAATATGAATGAATGCAAGAAGGGTAAGCAAGTTTCACCACAGGCATTTGAAATATCAATACTTGAAACTACATTAGAACCTTACAATACCGTATTGTTATGGTTGAAAGTCTTAAAATGGTTTTAGTGTCATGAAATTTTCACTTTTAAAATAAGCAAAAACATATTGGAAACTCATACATTTTATAATTTATAAAAAAGGACCAACCAGCTAAGCATGGGACATCATTGTTCCAAAGACAAAACGGTAAGCTCAATAAGCTAAACTAAAGTAAAAATATTCATCTTTCTTTTACAGAGAAGTTCAAGACACCTCTAAATAAGCAATAACATTCATAAAACACAAGAGTCTATAATTCCCTCCGATGTTTCATTTCCCATAGACCCGACACATTCAGAAAGAACCTTTACCAACAATAGCAACAACTGGACATAAAAGGTCCATTGTGAAGGTATCTAACACAAAATTCCACATTGAAGCAATACCTAACATGAGAAACTTCTATAGTTGGATCATCAAACAAAATTGCTTTTCTTCAATGACCATACTTCCCAATTCCCATTGACATTGAACACTTTATTAACCACGTGAACCCACACAAAAGCACTTCACTCACCTGACCACCAAGTCACCACCATCCACACTTCATGATTTTCAAAGCACAAGGATGAAAATGCTCCATTAAACACAGTTTGTAAGCCAAAAAGGAGATAAAAACTACACACCCCAGAAAAACAAAGAGAAAGAAACTTTGCTTATAGTTTGAAATTTCACATACTTCTAATACAAACCCCACTATTCTTTTTTTCCTTTATACCCAAAAAAATAAACAGGAAAAGATTCCTTGCAGCAAAACCTAACAAGTGAATGGGTCCATTCATGCTAAAGAAGCACCGGTTTACATTTACTGTTCAGCCATTCTCCACAGCACCCAGAAGAATTTGTGAAATTTCAAGCCATGCCTATAACCTGAAACCTCACATACTTCAAACACAAACCCCACCATTATTTTTTCTTCAGACCCAAAAAGGAGGAAAAGATTCCAAGTAGCAAACCTAACAAGAGAATGGGTCCATTCATGCTAACGAATCACCAGTTTACATTCTCAGCCATTCTCCACAGCACCATATGAATTTGTTAAATTTCAAGCCATGCAGTTAGCAAAAAGAATCAAACTTTGGCAAGCAGCGAAGCAAAGAAAAGGAAATGATAAAAAAAAATGGAGAAGTGCAAAACAAGAAAGCAGAAACAGCTTACTAAAGTGAGTGGAACAATAATACACCAAAGTTGAAAGCTCTTCCTGTTGTCAGTATCTGTCTCTACTCTATAGTACTTTGAGAAACTTAACAAGAGGTAAGATCAGCCCTTATACAATGTATTTGGTTCATGTTTTTCATTTTTCTTGTTCATATTTTTCATTAATAATAATATTAATTAATTATTAATAAGGAACAACACGAGCCACACTCGCTGACAGAAACATTTGCTTTTTTGCTTGCGTTTTCACGCCAACAATGACACGTCACTTCCCTCAGATTATATCACAGGCCCAAGCCCATAAACGACTAAGGCCCATTATGGAACCCAATTTGAGTACCCACACAGAAACCATGTCTTTGTGCTTGTGGGCCATTTGTTTTCAAAGCAGGTTCACTTTAATTCAAGGAATTTTGAAATTTATTGTAAAAAAAGGATTTTAAAAGTAAAATCAATTCATATATTGATTTTGTTGTAGATCTAACATAGTTTACATACATGACTACAAAATAAAAATTTTATCTTACAAACATATACTAAAAATTCGTAATATGATTTTTTATCTTTATAATTTTTATTTCAATTTTCACATCAATTTTAAAGAGTGATTTTAAGTAACTACAAGTAATTCTTTATTAGAAAAAATTTATTATACATATAATATATTTTATTTAATAAAAAATAACGTTTAGCTATTAGAAATTATAATAAAATCTATTTTTATTTGTCACTATATTATATATATATATATATATATATATATATATATATATACTTGTAGTTTAATTATGTTTTAAATATTTTAAATTTAGAATAAATCCAGTCCAGTCTTTGATTTTATTTACAAAAATCATAATATTTTAAAGAGATAAAATATTCATTTTTGAAAAATTATAAAGTGATTCCAATTTTAATTTGTAAAGTTAAAAATAATATTTCGGTGGTTAAAAACACTGAACGAATGTAATATTTAAAAAAAATATATATGAAAGAAAAAGGGTAATTATTTATCAAAAATATTGAGAATAAATATGAAAAAAAAAAAAAAGAGAGAAGAAAACGATAGATAATATTTGAAAGCAAAAAACATGCTACATGTTGGGGGACACATGCACACATCCATGCATCAAAGCATGACACGACGACGGCGACGACGACATCCATTCATCATTCTATCAGAGTCAGTTATGTCAATGCAGCACACAGAACGACGTGCTCTTTAACCGTTCCACGTGGCACCCATCATCATATTTTCTCACGCTTTCTCCTTTCCTTCACCAAAAATTTCAAAAAACAAATAAAAAGAAAAAAGAAAAAAGCTAAAAGCATAATCGTCTGAACCTTTATACCTTCCTTCGCCATCGTCATAATCAAACTCTTTTGCATAACAAACCCTTCATTTCATATTCTTCCCCATTCCCCGTTTCGATGGAGGAGGAGTACTCTCTCCACCCCGCGATCTCTTTCTCCAGTGACATTTCAGTCTCTTTCGAAGAGGACGCCACTTCCACTCCCGCCGCTTCTTCCGGTAACCCTCCCCCTTCCTCTTTCCCTCGGTTTCTCGATATCGCTTCAATGCAATTAGGATTGTGGAATAACGGTAGTGAAAGCCACGAACAAAAACAATTCATGCGGTTCTGTGTATTGCTTCTTCTTTGGATTGTTCTTACGCAGGGCGTGTTGACACGAATCAATCCTCTGCGTCGCGGAACGCTCCTACCCCGGCACCTTCACCGGTTAATGGTGCGAATGCTCTTATGGAGGCTAAGAACAAGGGAATTAGCGCAGCGGAGCTTGCTAAGTTTCTTGACGAGAAAGTTCCCTTCAGGAAAAAGGTTTCACCAGAATCATTGTTTTTTATAATTATTCTTCGGATTTTGTGCAATTGAAGGCTCGTTGTAGCAATGTTGTTGCTGCTTCGGAAGTTAAGATTTATGCAGTAAGGTGGGGTCTAAAAGTGTCTTGCTGAAGTGTCATTTCATGCTGGATTAAATATATTCAACTTCCCTGCATTTAAAATATATATATATATATATATATATATATATATATATATATATATATATATATATATATATCTGACACTTACTTTGGTTCCCAGCGTGACCTGTTTTTAAAAGAAATGCGTTTCACATTCCTGCAAGTATAGTGAGTATTTTTTGGTGTGTGTAAGAGATGGCGGATTTTGTGTTTAGTCGGACAACCATGTAAGTGGGATTTGTGCTGCCCTGTCAGGCTGAGACCAAAATAAGTGAAAGTGATTTTGTTGTATGTTAAAAATTTTATGTAATTGAAAGTTCCTTGATGAGGCTGCCTTTAAGAATAAGGGTGGACAAGATCACTTTGTTATATTCTTAAAGTACTATGTGATTTTTCAGTTGGAATTTTGTTGTTGGAAAGATAGATTTGTGCATCAATTAAATGGGAGGTCTTAATAGTGGTATGCTGAATTGAACTGTAATGTTGCATGGGGTCTCAATTGTACATATACCCATGCATACATAGGTTGCGGAGTATGCTAACAAGCATTCTGTATGGGCGCATCACATCTCCTGATACTACTTCAAATTATTTCTGTGACTATAAAATATTTAAATTAATGCTTGTAAATTCTCTGCATGTCTTTTAAATCCTTGAAAACTGTTTGCAAATGTGGCAGGTCCAATGGATAAAACGGGCTTCTGTACTTAAGCATGATGGTACAGTTGAAATTAAAGTTCCAGGAGCAGGAAGTAGTGTTGAGCATGATGTTAAATGTGATGAACCTCATGATGAATTTTGTGATGCAATACACTGTCAGGATATTCAATCTATTAAGCCACTTCAAATTGTAATGCTTATAGTAGGCACACGAGGAGATGTCCAGCCATTTGTTGCCATGGGGAAGCGTCTGCAGGTTTTTTGCATGCCTGGTTTCTGAAGTATTAGTTTTACACAATGATCATATACTGCAAGAATGTGTTGTACATTGTTATGTCGTGCTAATGGAAATAATTAGGGTTTAAAAGATTTAATTTTACTCTGGCTACATTTAAGAGTAATGGAATTTAGGTTATTAGTTCTTTGTTCTGAAATTGCGCTTTTAAATTGTGGATAAGCTTTAGTGTAGCAGAGTGATGCAGTCTGCAATTTAAAACCTATCTTATATTGATGGCAGTTGCCTTTCAGAAAATACATTTAAAAACATAATAGTCTGGCCCATTGTTGGATGAACCCCTTATTGTTATTTGTTTACGAAATATTTTGCTTTTGCACCAAGCAAATCTTCTGTAATTTTCTACTTTTGATGCAAACCTGGGAACATAACTGGTCTCCTCCAAGTAACTTAATGTAATTTTCTGTAGCAAGTGAGCTTGCAGTAGACTTATCGTTTTATGTTTTACAAGTATACCAAAGATATCCTTGCATGATGTCCTTACTTTTTCCAGTGATTTCATTATCAGTTGATTTTCACCTCTCTCTTTCTCTCTAAGTTATACAAGTTGAAATTACTGTAGCATAGGTGAAAACAATTTTATAGTTTCACAACTTGATAAAATAACCCTTTTGTTTGTCTTCCCATGTATCCACCACCCACAGAAATTGTAGCTGATCCTAGAGCTTCGTTTATTTTTTTTACTATGATTGAAACTGTCAGACCCTTATGTTATTCATTATGGATCACAAACTTTGTTTCGTGAAAATCTTGATGTCTTTATTTTCTAGCATTTTCATTCTTTCCTCCTTTATAAACATAGTGTTTTCAACTTAACTACACAAGTCAATTTTAATCCCATGTAATACAACCTTGTTAAGGCCAGTGTCTTTTGCAGGAAGATGGCCACAGAGTTAGGCTAGCTACTCATAAGAACTTTGAAGATTTTGTCTTGAATGCAGGCTTGGAGTTTTACCCTTTGGGTGGTGATCCTAAAGTTCTTGCTGGTTGTAAGTGTTTCTTGCCTTACTCCAAAACATGATCTTTCTAGATCCAACTTGTTTTAATTGTTTAATAGGTAAGTAATACCATCATTGGTAATGACCATTAAAACTGTCTTTGATTAGTAACTTGACCCTAGGGTCTAACAAGAAATGGATTTGTAGTTCTCTACTTATCTTTATAATTCAACACAAACATAATTAAATATAAATAAATAGATGAATGCAGTCCATCTTTACCAGTGGGCTGGGTCTCATGGCACCCCATCTCTCCTTAACAAGAAATGATATTTATGCTGTAGATATTTGTCAAAAAAGATGTATACACAATATACTTTTATCTAAAAACATGAAGAGGTCTATCCCTGGAATAGAAGGTAAATCTGAAAATTTATATAAAATCAAGAACTGATATTTACTCCTCAAGAATCAGTGATACTGATTTCGTCATATGAAGGTGAGGAATTGTTCATATCACTGTTTTCTCATATAAGTCATTTGATGAATTGTGTTTCTTCTTTGTTCATGCTTCGAATTATTTTCTTACATGTTTTCTTCAGATATGGTCAAGAATAAAGGCTTCTTGCCATCAGGACCTTCAGAAATACATATACAAAGAAATCAAATCAAGGATATCATTGATTCTTTGCTTCCTGCATGCCACAGTCATTACCCAGAGTCTAATGCAATATTTGAAGCAGAAGCGATAATTGCCAATCCTCCAGCATATGGTTAGATTTTACTTAAAATTTCATCATGTTATGTCTCATAAATTATGAACAACATTGAAGATAAGTATTTTTTTAATTATAATGAGAATGTAGTTCAAATATTTTATCAAGTAATTAGAGATTGCATACTAACAAAAAAGTTTAAGGATCTATATCCTCTAAAGTGCCATCTAAGTAGAGTGGTGATCTCACAGTTCATTATAATTTATAACTGTGCATGTATTTCATCTGTTAGTCCATCAATGATTAATAATTCAACACTTCATAGATTAGAAGTACACCGTGCACTTTAGAGTATCACAATCTAAAGTTTAAATTATATTTGTCATTAGAAATCAAGAAGCAAGAGAAGTTTTAAATGACTAAAAAGCTTAGAGAGTGACCTGGGATACTTTTGTCTAGAACTATCAACTGAAAGTCTAATCATACAGAGGGGAAGAAATTCTAGTTTTTTTATGCTGACAGGCATGATGAACATTTTAGACTATATAAGAATCTCCTCTGTTTTATTGCTAAGTCCCAAAGATGGAAACTACTGATAGGCTAATCCCAAATAGAAACAAAGTTCACTGGCAGAGGAATATAATTACTATCTAGAAAACTTTCTGAGATTATTTACAGCTATTATGTATTAATAAAAAATATTTTATGTTTTTTAATGTATCTTATGCAGGGCATACACATGTTGCTGAATATCTAAAAGTTCCACTTCACATATTCTTCACAATGCCATGGACGTAAGTCTTGTTTCATAACATGGGCTAATCCCACACTTAATTATCTATATGTCTGCTATGAGTTTTGTTATATGTGAATCAGGCATTGGCTTAGGAATTAGGATATTTTTCAGTTGGCATTAGAAAAGTTAAGCAGATATTAGAGGATACTTTTGTCCTTTTATTATGCAATATGATGATGTTATACAACATTTGCAGGCCTACTAGTGAATTCCCTCATCCTCTTTCCCGTGTTAAGCAACCAATTGGCTACAGAGTGAGTTTTACGGTCTGTCTGTATATCTGAAATTAGAATCTATTAATTTTCCATGGGATTCTAAGTTATTGTTTTGTTTTGTGTCTCGAGTCTTTCAGCTGTCATATCAAATAGTTGATGGTTTAATCTGGCTTGGAATACGAGACTTGATAAATGAGTTTAGGAAGAAAAGGCTGAAGCTAAAGCCCGTTACTTATCTAAGTGGATCTTACACTCACCCTTTTGATGTGCCCCATGGTTATATATGGAGCCCTCACTTAGTCCCTAAACCAAAAGGTTAGATACGTATTTATAATGTGTTCTCATATTATAGTCCTCACTTTTCCATTACTGATATACCAATGTAGCTGTATGCAATTGTTATCACATAGGGGTGAGGTATACTGCCACATAATCATTACTTTTTGGAAGATGTCATGATAATCTAATTGTCTTTACTGATCTGCAGACTGGGGACCTAAGATTGATGTCGTTGGATTTTGTTTCCTTGACCTTGCTTCAAATTATGAACCACCAAAATCGCTAGTAGATTGGCTTGAAGAGGGCGAAAAACCTATTTATGTTGGATTTGGTAGCCTTGTGAGTTCTATGTTCATGTGTTTAGGTCATCTGATAACCCTCTGATGAATCTGCAGATTTCACTATAAATATAACTTTTACAAGTAACATTTGCTAGTAATAGATGTATATGTATCAGACTCGGTGGCTTGTTCCATACTAAGGTTTTCAATCAAATGTGCCTTACGTTTTGATCTCTAATTTTGTTTCCAAAGTTGTCTATCAGAAGGAAGTTCAGAGATAAATTTTCTGAGTTGTCCCTGGAAGTGCCCATAATTTTATGTTAGTTTTCCAAACTAGCTCAACTAAATAAGAAACACCTGCCTTGAATGAAATTCCGTACAATTATAATATATGATTGTAAACAAAAAAGTAAGACTCTTCCATTTCATGTATTTACTGGCCAAAGATTAAAATGCGGATAAACAACCTCTATATATTGGGCTATAATTCTGTATTTGATTGTATTAATAATCAAAATAGATGTATGCAATCATTAAAACCCTTCAACCTCCATTCTAATGTAATTTTTATTGGTGTTTTAATAGCCTTTAGAAGAACCAGAGAAAATGACGAAAATTATAATACAAGCTCTGGAAAAAACAGGACAGAGAGGTGTCATCAACAAAGGCTGGGGTGGTCTTGGGTCTTGTGAGTCACGATTTCTACTTTTGACATGCCATTGGTATACTATGTATTCAGCTTTGATTGTGAAGCATGTAGTAATTTCTGTTTCTCAGTGGCAGAACAAAAGAAATCTGTGTATTTATTGGACAACTGTCCGCATGATTGGCTGTTTCCCCAATGCACTGCAGTGGTAAATTTTTTTCTCAGTAGAAGTACTAATGCTTTTTATTCAAATTTGAGTTCTGCTTAAAAGTTGCACATTTCAGGTACATCACGGTGGTGCGGGAACAACTGCAGCTGGTCTTAGAGCTGAAGTAATGCATCGTGTAATGTGAATTCTTGTAACTTCAATGGTATATTCATCTCAATAATAAGATCATTTCCATGCTGCATTTTTGCAGTGCCCAACAACCATTGTACCATTCTTTGGGGATCAGCCATTTTGGGGAGAGCGGGTACATGCTAGAGGAGTAGGTCCTGCACCCATCCCGGTGGATGAGTTTACACTAGATAGGCTGGTCGAAGCCATACACTTCATGCTGAAACCAGAGGTAATCTTCAAATATCATCACAGACCAGAGCAATTAGTATTATAAATGTAGCATATAGAATATGTTCCGGATTACCCTGTTCACAATTCATAAATATCTCGTACCATAATTTTCCAGGAGAAGGTTAATATATTAAATGTTTTACTTGGCGATCATTAATAGTTCATGCTTATCAAACAACCTTTATTTACTGGTATGACACCGATTTATATACTACTGTCATGGGAAGTGACAAATGTTTAACAATTCGTGAATTTAATTCCTTTTTACTTTAAAAAAACATTATGAATTCTTATAAAGAAGAGACTAAATCTACACGTTTTTTAGTATTTGAGAACCAAATATATCGATATGATAGTATGGGAATCTTGATCGTGTTTAACGTGAACAAGAAACATATTTTGTTTTTCTTATAATGGTGACGACAAGAAACTTGGGACTTTTTGCATGTTATTCAAACCCTCCACTACTATGCTGACGCTAGTGAGTGTTTCCGTTAATTGCTAGTTGTCTGTTATTATGGTAGAAGGTCTGTTCATTCATCGTCATCCTGGAATACTTTTTGTTTTTAGTCTTGCTCATACATCGATTGGGGCTTATGCACAGGTGAAAAGGCGTGCTGTTGAACTTGCTGATGCCATGAAAAATGAGGATGGGGTGCTAGGCGCGGTTAAAGCTTTCTATAAACATTACCCGGACGAAAAATCCAAATGTGAGGAATCCAAGTCTAAGCAATTAGCCTCCGCAGCCGACCCCAGGCCAATGCATAAATATTTCTCTATACGACAATGCTTTGGTTGCTCTCCTATTTCTTCGCTGGATACACATCGACCATAAAGAGGGGGAAAAAAACTACATACGGCACATTCGTCCATGTAATCATGTTCATTCTCCGGTGTAATTCTGATACAGCATCAATTGTGAGAAGTAAATAGCCCCGGTGATTTTGTTGAGCTTCTCCAGAAGCATTTCTGAAGGGATTCCAGTATACCGCTTAACATTTTTTATCTTTTAGTATACGGTTTGTATGATGTATAAACCAATGTTTGTAGAATACAACTAACCATTTTCTTTAAAATATATTATGGACAAGAAACTTACAAAGATTGTGGGTTATGTTTGTGTACTGGCCTTCTCCCAGGATTATATTCAATTAGTGACTGTCCTCACTCTCCCCTTTGTTTATTAGTAAAACTACATTGAACAGTGACAACATAATTTTTTTAACACATCGCCTTACTACATAATTCACTCAAAGCTAAAAGAATGAAAGGAATTCACTTGCTTTTTTCCCCTTTCCACTCATTTTATATATTTATTGTATTGGATGGTTTGTGATTTGTTACACAGAAGCAATTAGGGCTGAGCCTGAGACTGATAAACTTGGCCTTTCTGACTTATTTCATCCTGCTCAGAAAGGCTTATGGATGAATCCACTTCCAATGTTGACCTCTGTAATGAGGGCACAATAGGAGGTTTTATTCTGTGTGTTACAGTCATCTTCAGCCCTTGTGTCGTGTGAATTGTAGCTCCAGTAGTCATCTCAACCTATCAAGTTTGTTATTATTAAGAAACGTTAAAGTAATCAACTTTAAGACAATAATTCTGGAACTTTAAGGTTATGCTAATGAAATTTAAAACAATATCCAAAAGACCTCATCAAAGCACGAAAACATCACAACATAGTAACAACAAACTTACAGGTGGAGCTCCAACCGCCATTTGAAAGTTGAACCGTCTAACAAGCATTGCAAGAGCTACTACAGTCTTTACAATAAGCATCATAGAAGCATACAAACATAAATACTCATTAGTATGCACAATAGCATTTGCTCACTCTAAGTCTCAAAAAAAATGGAATCCGCTCATAATTATAAGGTTCTCCAACTAGTCCATTGGCCAGTAGCAGATAAACAAAAATACTAACAGCACAGCAATGAACATTACCTCGTATGTAGCAAACAAATCACCTACACATTTCCTTGGTCCTCCACCAAACGGAAGATATCTGAAAGAAAGGATAGCATGCATTACAGACTAGATAAACTCTTTGCCTAATGTAAGACAACATCCTCCTTAACATTAGAGGATAGAAATCACACAAATAGATTAAATATAAGTAATATACTTGAAGCTTTGATTCGTCTCATTAGGGTTTGGTCCATCTAATGGCCATCTTTCAGGTTCAAATTTGTCAGCATCATCCCACAGTTTTGGACTGCGATGCAGGTTCCACACAGATATAAAAATATCTTCACCTCTGCAAATGATTAATGATACATAATCACCATGGATCAGAAAGGAAGATGCTCAGTATATTTCTTATTCAGTGCAAACAGCTATATATATATATATATATATATATATATATATATATATATATATATATCTTAAGGTTTCCCTAAATTACACTGACATCTTCATCTGAAAAATTTGACTTTGGCTTTTCACCTGTAGAGGAGCCAATATAGAGGGAGGCCTGTTTTTTCTCAAGTTGAAGTGACTTAATCACACTTTAGGAGGTTAGTGAAACTTACTCAATATCCAGGAGAATTGAATTCACACTTAAAGATGAAACAAAAAAGAATGAGACTTTTCAACTAGACAAGAAAGATTGGCAAAACTATACCAGCTAATCAAGACCAAATATTTATTGCAATTACCTCTTTATAGAGTACTCGCCAAGAACATCATCCTCAAGAGAGCGACGAATTAACACAGGTGGTTGTGGGTAAAGCCTTAATGACTAAAAATTGAATATATTCATAAAAGTCAATTACTAGATATAAAAAAATGAAAGCGTAATGACAAGTATGCCATGTTTATACCTCATTGATCACTCGGGTCGTATATTTGAGTTTCTTCATGTCTTCAATAGTTGGACATCTATCACCAAGTACAGAGTCAACCTATGAAAAATCACATATTATTAGATTCTACTGATCTAGACACCTATTATGATATTTAATACGAGTTTGAAAGTAAGAGGACTGTTTAGTTTGAAAACGTGTTTCTCGTTTTCATTTTTAATTACAAAAAAACGCAGCCTATTTTCACTTTGTTTTCTGTTTTCAAAGATTTTAATAGGAATCAGTAAAACAACTTTTTATTGTTTTCCCTGTTTTCTACAAAAATCTACGAAAACAAACAACAAAGCAACATTACCATAATTAAAAATGAAAATAGAAAACACTTTCTCAGACAACATGGTCCCTAAGAATCTCAGAAACCTCTTCTTGGAGCTTGGACATGACTCTAGGCTCCTGCAGCCAACAAAAAAGGAAAAGAAAATATTTTTGTATCAGTCATTATTTCATTATAAATTAATTCTTCACTTACGCAATTTCAAACAAATAATTGTTAAGTGTATACATCTTTATCTGGGGTTGATGACAAGAAATAACTGCAATGCTCTATTGAACATGCATTATTTATCGAGCTTTTCATGCTTGATTAAGCAAAACTTGTGGAATGAACAAAAATATATTGCAATTCAATATCAAGCAATAGATCACCATAACAATACTCCCCTTCTTCTTGAACCTTAGCCTCGTATATTATTACCGTGGATAGAAGATAAAAGGTCCAAGTTAAAACAGCAGCTGATGTTTCATGTCCAGCAATGAGCATGGTCATTAAGTCATCACGAAGTTGCTTACTTGATACCTACAAAAAGTCACTATTTCATACTTTGCATTCACGTCCAGTTTTTCTATAAAACAAAATACACAGCTTACATACATCATCTCCTGACGCTAACAAGAAGTGTAGAATACTTGGATCTTGTTCATTCATGTACTCCTCATGAAACTGTAAGTCTTCTTCATCCACTATTCTCTGAAAAAAGATAATTGCAGAATAAATAAAATAAAGAAAAGCTATAATGAATCAACTAAGTATTTTGATGTAAGACTAGTGCATCCAGCTGAAAATTTACCATGTTATAAATTTGATATTTACTTAACTGCTTACACATCAAAGCTTGAACCTTATATTTCCAATGTTTAGGAATAAAGCTCTAGTACCAAAGTTTAGAATAGAAGATAGTGTAAAAGATCGAGAAAAGATTGCATATTCATGATGATAAACAAAAACTTATATGCATAGCAGATGCAAGAATGTACACAGCATATCAATATTTACATGTGCCTTTCTGCAGTGCATCACATATTGCATGCCATCTCACGTGAACATATTTTGAGAATACAAGCTTGTGTCACACTAATGACAACATTACCTTACATATTGCTATCAGTTCATCAAGCGTATCATTGATCAATTTGAGAGCTGCATTAACCTTCCTTAGACGTGGTGATACATCTTTCCATATTGGGATATCCCATACTGGAATTGGAGCAACACTTCGATCTTCTGCTTCTCTCAGTACAGTATAAACAGCCTGATATGATTAAATTAAGTGAAACAATATGTAGCTTTATTTGAATAACTTCCTTGGTGCAAGATAAATTGTAAACTGGAACGGTGAACATAGAAAAGACTGAACAGAAGGATAAAGGAATATTCCAAAAACTATACCTCAACTATACCAGTGTCATTCGATAAACTATCAAAATCATAATTGAATACTGCCTTTCCAATGATGTCCAAGGTTAATCGAGAGAAAAGTGATTCCATCTCAGCATCTTCTCCATCGGATGCAGCAGCATCTAGCTTCTGGCAGAGCCTATCTGCAGCTTGTCCAAAAAGGTCGATCATAGCTGCTACATACTATAATCACAATCAGGAAATGAAATCAAACGCAAGATAGAGATGCTGAAGCAGAGATTTAAGACAAAGTGAGGATGGTGTAATATGAAGTAACAAACATCTCTTGATACCATAAAATAAATACATCAAAATATGATGCACTATGCATATGCCTAGTTTCTCCAACTCAAGAAGGGAACCTTTAAGTCATGACCTCAGCAGCCATGAAATCTATCTAGGATATGATCCAAAGTGACTATAAATAAAGCAGTCCAAGATCACTAGAATACCTTCTGGTGGAATGCTGGGACTATAGCACGGCGTCTAACTCGCCATATTTCACCATCAGCTGGGATGAGACCTTTCCCCATTACAAAGTCTAGGATCTCAGCCAAGATGCCCTGCACATGAAGTGCTAAAAATAATTTGCAAGTACGACGTATGACCGAAGGGAGACAACAAATAAGAAATTGTACAGCAGCAGTCATTGTTGATTGTTGAGTTGATTACCTTTGAATATGCCTTTGAATTGTCTCTCAATATGTGTTTTGCAATAGTCGGATCAGATACTATCAGAAAGGACTGCAAGACAACCAAGAGCGAAACACAGTTATCCCCTATAAGGAGTCCTTTTCTTTATTGATAATTTTCAGGGTTAAGGGAGTTTCCCCCTTTCCCAGTGCCATGAAAGCCATACTGGGATTATTACAAATCACCTAACATTGGGCAACCCCTGAACTTAAACTCAAGTCATGCAATATCATAATCCTAAAGGTCAAGCAATTCCACGAGGCTTTAAAAAAACAGTTCGCAACCATGATTTCAGTTACAACTTCAAGTTTCATGGGGTTTCAGCGACCGCAATTTAAAAGCCTGCCATCCCACATGAGGCATTGTTTCCAAAGAGAAATAAACTACATTTCAGCTGAAAAAAGAAAAAGAGAAAAACAGAACTAACCTTTGGTCCAAACGTCAACCTAAAAATCCCCCCATATGTGAGGTAAAGTTCATACAAGGGAATGAAGAAGGCAACACTTCGAATAGCTTTGATTGACCCTTTTGCCTCAGGAATTTTGCGGTACACACCACCCCCTTCAACCCAACCAAACAAAAAATCCAGAACTTCATTGGGCACCCCCACCTTTGCCAATCCCTCCATTATAGAAAGCAAACTACATCAAACCACAAAACAGAAAACCAAACAAATAAATGAACAAAAATCCCTCTTTGACTGTACCCAATTCAATTACTCACTGTAATAGAGTTAGACCGAAATTGAAGACGCATGGGGATGTTAACGACTACCCATCATTATATTAACCCAAAAAAAGAAGAAAATATTCCACGAAAAAAGGAATACTTTGAAAGGTCAAGGTTTTTTATACATACACAGATTTCTGCTTCACGGTGAATTCCCCTGAGGCAATCCTAGCAGACAATGCTGCTAGTCGTTTCTCTTCGAGAATGCGCTCCACTTTTCGTACCTCTTCATCATCCACCGAATCCGGGTCTCTTCCATTTGAAGAGGAAGATGCAATCACCGAGGAAAAAGACCCTCTTTGTGTTGTTATGGAGCATGGAAAGCAAGAAGAAGAAGAAGTGGTGGTGGAGAATTTGATTCCATTTATGCAAATCTGTTTGACATGGAAGCGTTGAGTGGAGATTGAAAGTGGAGGAGCACGAAGAAGAGCAACGTGGGTAGCCATGGATTACACAAAGTGTTGTTTGTTACAGAACAAGTTGGAAACACATAAATAAGACTGTACTGTGTATAAGGTGTGTAAGCTTCTGAGTGGAATCTTTTGAGTATCCAACGGTGATCAACTTGGTTAGATGCTGTTTCTGGACTACTTTTTATTCGTCAATAACATGGTATCAGGGTAGGCCACGTTCTTTCTGTTCTGTTCCTAAACAAATAACCTTTGTATTGTTTACAATTCAAGTTGTGTAACTTGCTTCACCAAATTTGGATAATTCATAAGTTCGGTTGGTAAAAAAAATACTTATTTAAAATGAAAAATAAATCTCTAAATATTTTGGAACACTCTTTCTACATATCAAAATTGGCTAAAAATCCAATTTTTATTACTATAATTAGTGCATGTTGAGTATTGTAAAACCATCCACGTGGATAGGATTTGCGATAAGGGATTGGTCCCTGTGACATTGTGATGGATATGGTGAAGGTGACATTTACGATTGTTGAATCTTCATTTACTTTTCATTTTCGGATTCTTCCCTTTCATGTCTTCTTCTACCTTTCTACTCTATTATTCCACCTTTCCTCTATTATTCGATAATAATTTGTTATTAAATTATAATATTCACAACTTTCTATATATAATGTGAATCATATATTTTTACTTAACTGTTATTATAATTCTCTTTAAAGATCATGGTGTTCACCTTAAAGAAATTATCATCACTTTCACTGCCACATCATAATATTAATTCAGCTATTTCTGACTTTTTATTACTACTTATTTCTTTAAAATTATGAACTTTCTTATTATTATAATTAATTTACCCTCTCTCTTTTCTCTCTTTCCATCAATCTATCATTCACTTCAAAATAGAATCCGTTGAAGTTGCAAATTTTATGAATAACACGACCATCGTACAACGTTGATATGTTGCGATGTTTCTAGATTTGACAACGTGTATACTTTCACAAATTGTCACACTCTTAAAAAAGAAAAAATGGACACAATGAAAAAACGACAGCGATAGTTTTGGTAGTTTTCTTCATAGAATTTGAAAGGTTTAAATTTGTTTTACCACACACGCATTTATCTTTAATTTCTTCTTTTTTTTCAATATATATGGTAGAAAGTTTCATTGGTTCAATCTACCTTCTTAACATAAATATTTTTTAAATACTGTTGAGAAGTAAGTTTTTGGACAAATCGACTATTCAAAGTTATATTTTAATTTTATCTAGAATAGCACTATACGACATTGTTAATAATTTTTTTTTTTGCATTTTTAAATGAAAAATTATTTTAAATATATTATGTCAAATCAGATATTATTAAACTTAATTAATTAATAAGTGAAATTTTATTTTATGATATAAAAATAGAATAAAATTATGTATTTTTCCTAAGAGGAAATATAATTAATATATTTTAAAGGAATAGAAGAAATTTCAGAATGAGAGAGAGAGAACAAGAGAATGAACGGCTTAAATATTTATTGATAGTTGAAACAAAAAAATGAGTTTTTGTTTCAAATCAATGGCATGTGGGAAGAGACACATCAATCTTCTCCATATTCGATGCCATGCACAACAAAATGAAATTACAAAAATGTTGCTAATATATATATATATATATATATAGTGGTAAAAAAATGAATTAGATGGTGGCGGAAAATCTGGTTAAGTGGTGCTTGAATCAGTTCTTTGAGTTCATGTTCTTCTTCACTGCCTCTGCATTATCTTTGACGTATTCAGCTGACTCGTGAGCCTTTCCTTTCACAGCGTCTGCAGCCTTATTGGCTGCGTTCTTAGTGGAATCCCATGCACCTTGTATTGTCTCCTTTGCTTTCCCAGTCATGTTTTTAGCACTTGCTGACATCTGATTAGCGATCTGGTCTGTCTTGTGACTCACCTGTTTCAACATTAAGTATGTAACAATCGTCATGCTTTATTAATGTCAAACATGTAACAAAATAGGTTTTTGTACAATATTATTACATGTTCTGCTGTGCTGAAAGCCTTGTCTTGAGTTGATTCATTGAAACTGTTGTTCACTGTTTCACTGGCTCCTTGTTTGGTGCCTTCTACGGCTGCTGAGCCTTCAGGTGAAGATGGTACCTACAAATTAAGATGCATGGTAGAATCATTAAAGAATACAAATTCTTTTTCCATTTTCCTCAAAAAACTAGAATTGAAGTATTTACGTGGATAAATCTAGGGGTAGCAGCAGCGAAGAATCTTGGGTTCCAGGTACGAGCCCTAGCAATGGTTGCTCCAGCATGGCCAAACTTTGAGAGGGATGTGACTAGGGTGAAGCTTGCCATTGTCTTATATATGATCTTTGTCTTCTGCTGTTTGTTCTCTGATATAGGGAATTGTATTCGATTTGATGCATTGTAAATGACTATGTTGATGTATATATAGAGCTTCTCAACGATTTGTTCGTGTGGGAAGAGCTTTCAGGTCCATTAGAATGTTTGTGAAGGGTGTAACAGACCCAGTATTTTAGGACGCTGAGTAGGACTTTTGTGGTCGAAGACAAGTTCTTCAAATAGGTTCAGTATATTTAGTAACTTTGGCTGAGATTGAAATTGGATTTAATATTCTCTTTTGATAAATTATATTGATTTTATTTTTATTGAGTAAAATTATAGGCTTTTGACGAGATGATTTGTTCCACCATTTTTTCATCGTCTCAAATTGTTTTCATATTTCTTTATAAGCGATAACAAAAAGTTTTAACATTCACTTTAGCTATTTGTTAATTTTTTTTTCTTTAACTTTTCAACTGTTGTAAATCTACAAACTTGAATTTTTTTATTTCAGTTTTGATATTTCACCTATGAGTCTTTTCAAATCTTTATGAAACAACCTATCTCTCTAATTAAAAATATATATTTATGATGTAGAATTGTCTCAGAACAAAAAAATGGTTCAGGAAACAATTCCACATGAATTAATATTCTACCTACACTAATACAAAACAAAAAGGATTTTTTACGTCATCTAATTCTCGTTGCATCCAAAAATATTTGACATAAATAAAATACATTAGTAATTTTATAAATAAGAGGCAGAATTTTTACGTTACACATTACTGTATGCAGTGGTAGATTTTTTTAGGAGTTGAGGGGGTCGTAGCCCCCAAAATTTTGTAACTTCCATGTAATTTATGATTTTGGTTCTTCCAAACTTAATGAACATTTAATATATTTACTTGTATATTTATAATTCTATCCTCTCAACTCTCCTCCTCCTCAATTTTCTAACTCTCATATAATTTATGATTTTGTCTCCCTCAAACATAATAATCATTTAATATATTTAAGTATATATCTACAATTTTATCCTTTCACCCTTTCATCTTCTTTCTTCCTTTTATATTTATTTATTATTTATTAATAATATATTATTTGGCCCCTCAAGGTCAATGGTCAAGATCCGCCACTGATCTGTATGCGACATAAAAGAAGGTTTTTACGTCACGTACGGTATTGTCCGACGTAAAAATTGATTTTTATTCTGTTCCGTGGCTACTCCCTCGTCTCATCCAACAAGGGTTTTTGATAATAGCGACGACAACTACCATTTCCACACCATTTTCGATCATTTTAACTATGAAAAACATCAAAATTGTGTCTCATTTTTTGAACTTGACATTTCTCCCCGATTGGATTCGAGTTTTAAATCATTTTCATGTATACTCGACGTTAGTGTTCTATGTCTCCTATTATATGTTCAAATTGAATCTCTGATTTTTTTAAGGATCTCAATCACGTTATTGCATGAATGTCTCCACTGGATTGTTATTGGAATGTCATTATCTATTTATTTGTTTGAGCATTTTCGGTTTACACACTCCATTTACGTGTTAATCACTTTCTTTGTTGTTTGTATATTATTTTTTTTAATATAAATTTTGAATCTTTAGGAGTGGCGAAAATTTATAGCATAGGTAGATATGAATCGAAGTTGGATGAATGCATATCGTATTAGTAAAGAGTACGAAAAGGGAGTTGAGGAATTTTTGAAATTTGCTAATGAAAATGGAAAACCTATGAAAGAGACATATTATTGTCCATGCGTTTGTTGCTTGAATCAAATTCATCATAAACTTGAGGATATACGTGATCACTTGTTTGTTTATGGTATTATTAAGAGTTATACAATATGGACATGACATGGAGAAATATTATACATCCCAACTATGTCAGCTACAGAAAATTTTGACGAATGGATGGATAATAATATAGAGAATATGATACATGATATTGGTGAAGAAAATTTTTTGAAAGCACATCTATATGATTCTTTGAAATCTGATTTTGAGCAACAATTGTACATAGGATGTATTTTTACAAGATTATCAGCAACTTTAAGATTGTTTAGTTTAAAAGCAAGAAATGGATGGACTGATAAAAGTTTCACTGAATTATTGGAGTTGTTGAATGAGATGTTTCCCGAAGATAATACATTACATATTCGTAACTATGAGGTAAAAAAGATATTATGTCCAATGGGTTTAGAGTACAAGAAGATACATGCATGTCCTAATGATTGTATATTGTACAGAAATGATTTTACTACATTAAAGATGTGTTTGACATGTGGTTTGTCGAGGTTCAAAAACAAAGTTGAGGGAAGTAGTGGTGAGGAAGAACTAGATGATCCCCCTGCTAAGGTGTTATGGTATTTGCCAATAATACCTAGGTTTAAAAGATTATTTGTCATAAAAGAAGATGCAAGAAACTTGACATAGCATGCGAATGGTAGAAAATGTGACAATCTTCTTCAACATCCACTTGATTCTCCATAATGGAAAAAGATTGATGAAACATTTCCAAAATTTGGTGCAGAACCAAGAAACTTGAGAATTGGATTGGCTACAGATGAAATGAATCCTTATAGGAAATTTAAGTAGTAAACATAGTTCATGGCCAGTTTTGTTGATCATATACAATTTACCTCCTTGGTTATGCATGAAGAGAAAATATATTATGTTGTCTATGATGATTTCAGGACCTTGACAACCAGGAAATGACATAGATGTATATCTTAGTCCTTAATTGATGATTTGAAGATGTTGTGGGAAACAGGAGTGGAGGTATTTGATTCATATCGCGAAGTAAATTTCAAGTTGCGTGCAATTTTATTTTGCACAATAAATGATTTTTCAGCATATGGTAATTTTAGCGGTTATAGTGTGAAAGGTCATTTTGCATACCATTTATGTCAAGAAGACACAAGTTATATCCAATTGAAACATGGACAAAAGACTGTGTACAATAGGCATAGAAAGTTTCTAATTGTTAATCATCCATATCGTAAAATGAAGAAAGCATTTAATGGATGTCAAGAGAATGCAGTTGCATCAATACCACGCATTGATGAACAAGTATATGAGCAAGTGAAAAATATTAATATTATGTTTGGAAAGACCCAAAAGAAATCCAATGAGAAAAACATTTGGAAGAAATAGTCTGTATTCTTCAATCTTCCTTATTGGTGTAAACTAGAAGTTAGACACTGTATAAATGTGATGCATGTTAAAAAAATGTTTGTGATAGTATAATTGGGACATTGCTTAACATAAAAGGAAAGACAAAAGATGGAATAAAAGCATGACAAGATTTAGCGTACATGGATATACGTTCTGAGTTACATCCATAATTAGTTGGAAAACGCACTTACTTACCTCCAACTTGTCATACTCTATCAAAGAAAGAAAAGATAAGCATTTGTGAGTGTTTACGTGAGGTCAAAGTGTCATAAGGATACTCCTCAAATGTTAATAGTCATGTGTCTATATAATAGTTGAAATTAGTTGGTTTAAAGTCTCATAATTTTCATGTGTTGATGCAACAACTTTTACCAGTGATTATTCGAAACATCTTACCAATTTTTGTTAGAGTTGTTATTACTCGGTTGTGTTTGTTTTTCAACACCATTTGTAAAAATGTAATTGATCCAAAAAGGTTAGATGAATTGGAAAATGAAGCAATTGTAATAGTATGTCAGTTAGAAATGTATTTTCCCCCTTCATTTTTTGATATCATGGTGCATTTGATAGTCCATTTGGTAAGAGAAATTTGATTATGTGGTCCGATATGGATGTATCTTGTTAAGAGATACATGAATATCTTAAAAGGATATGTGAAGAATCAGTACAGACCAGAAGTTTCTATTGTGGAAATGTACATTGTAGAAGAAACCATTGAGTTTTATTCAGGATACATGTCAAAATCACAACCAATAGGTATCCCTAAGATGAGACATGATGGAAGATGTGAAGGTAAGGGTACTCGAAATTTGAAGATTAAAAATGTTAGTCGGAAAGAAGTTGACCAAACACATTTATACATATTGAACAACACTGATGAAGTAATCCCTTACATATCGCAACACATAACTGCGAATGAATGAAAAATGGGTATTGAATGAACATAAAAAAAGTTTCCTTTCTAGGTTTAGAAAAAGGGTATATGTTGAGATTAATGTTTCAGATATACTTTTGAGACTTGCTCGTGGGCTTAATAGTGATGTCATAACATTTGGTGGGTATGACATTAATAACTATTTTTTTTACTAAAAAATAGAAGATGATAAAAGTAGAGTACAAAATAGTGGGGTCACAATTCAAGCTGAATCTATGCACTTTTCTAGTTCTAAAGAAAAAGATCTCATTACAACATCTATGAGTTAATTTTGGGTCATACAAGAGATATGGCAAATTGACTATGTTACTTAGGATGCCTGTGTTCAAGTATAAATGAGTTTAAGGGAATACGGGTGTGCGAACAGATGACCTATGATTTACTTTGGTTGATTTTAGTAAAGTCGGGTATAAGGATGAACCTTTTATTATGGCATATCAAGCGAGACAAATATTTTATGTCAAGGATCCATGTAATAAGAGATAATCAATTGTCCTTGAAGGAAGAAGCATGCACGAAATTCATGAAGATGAGTCTTTAGATATACATGAAACACCTTCATTTTCAAGTAGACCATTTGATGACATAGTTGACAATGAAGTTGATGACATACATGCAATTCGAAGTGATCATGATGAAGGGATATGGGAAAATATATTAACATAATAGGTGTTTATCTTCACATTTTCTAGTTCTTTTTATTCAAACTTATAAAGTATGTTGACTTTATATTATTTTGTTTTTCAGAATATGTCGGATTCCAAATCTGGTACTGGTAATGGCAGTGGCAAGAACGAAGATGGAGGTAAATTTGTCACCCGGTTAAAGGGGTTGACAGCAAGGCTGGTAGCTAGAGAGAAAACTCAAGTTGAAGTTGATCCACGTTCTAG